AGTTGGTGGATGCCAAAAATATTGCAAGTAAAGGATTGACCGTCGTGTTCCATGGTTTTGTGCTCAAGCGGGTCAGTTTACTTGCAATATTTAGGTACACCGTTCTTAGGGTGCCACTTAAGCCCAGGGCTTGCTGGTTAGGGGACCTTCTTTTTTGATATTGGCGTATAAAGGGACACCAAAGAACTAGCAGCAGCAGCAGCACAGCAGCTTCAATTCCTGTTCAACACCGCGACGCATTCAATGGCACCTGGGCAATATATCGACAAGAGGAAGTGCGCAAGTGATGAGCTGAGTGCCCCATAGCCGAATTGCACATTGTTTTCCCCAAAAGCAAACCAAAAGGAATTGGACGGATGTGATTTTCGATACGCTGTGTAAAGGTTAGCGAAGAGGTACCTTGGTGGCCTTCACCTGACCGCCACGGCCAAACCCTTTGAGGGAGCTCTTGCCTCGGGGGTTCAGTGTGCCGTTTGTCGTGTTTGTCAAGAAATTTTGTAAAATCAACTGCCAGCTAAAGAGTGCCCTTTTTTGCCATGGCCACTGGGTGTCTGGGCTTGACGTGATGCAAAGAGGTGCAGTGGTAAGGCTGGCGCTATGTTTGACACTTCTTGTAGGTCGGCCCAAGCTTCTTGCGTCAAGGGCCCCATCGATATTTACGACGGCTCGTATTAGATCAGGGCAAGTTCCAGTACCCACAAGGTTGGGCTGGATTTGTTTTGAATGAAAGGCCGGTTGCCACTCGCAAGTTGCAAGTCCGTGTACCAGGGTGGCGTGTTTTTACACCTGTTGCCAAAGCGGCCGTGCCCCACTTAAGCTCTCCCGCCTGGATTGGAAAGCTTCGGGGGACACGCTGACAACAGGAGTGTCGCAGCATGCTCAAAATTGGTTCCGGCGACTTACCATTTGTCTCCCCAGCCGTTGCCCTCCTCAGCGCGGACCAATGAGAGCAGTCTGGCGTAATCTGGCGCATCCGCTCTTCCCGTTCCAAGAGAAGTTGACCCAAAAGGAAGATCTGTTGACTACTTGGGCTCCTTACCTTACCACGGTGTGGCACGGGAAGCCCTTCGTGAAGACTTGGACTGTTTTTCTCTGACACATGCCTTACCATGTTATTGGTGGATAGGTATGTAAGGGTTTTCAAAGTTACGGGCCCTTATTTGTATGCCCTTTTTTGAAGGCGGCACATATCAGCAGCAGCCAGGTCTCAAACAAGGACTATATGTTTGCCACCCCCCTGCTTTCATTTGTGAATAATAACCCGACTGGATCACAATCTTCTGTTCAAACATGGGAGCCAACAAACAGCTAGCCATTTGGGGAGAACCTGTTGTTGAGACACACCACGTGATTTGTGAAT